CTGTTGTGGCTTCCGTCAAACACTTCAAGTACTACCTGGGTGGTCTGCCCTTTACTGTAAGGACTGACCACTCTGCTCTCCAGTGGCTCATGTCTTTCAGAGAGCCAGAGGGGCAGGTGGCACGCTGGTTGGAGGAGCTTCAGCCGTATGACTTCACGGTGGTGCACAGGGCAGGGGCACGCCACTCCAACGCCGACGCCATGTCCCGTCGGCCCTGTACTGCAGACGGCTGCCGCCACTGTGAACGGAGAGAGGGACGGGAGAGAGAGCTGTGTGCAGAGGAGGGGGTCTGTGCCACAGTGTGTCGGGCGAGCGGGCCTGTCTGCTGTGAGCTGCAGACTGTCGACGTGGCTGAATGGGGGCAGCAGCAGGGACGGGACACAGACCTACAGCCAGTGCTACAGTGGGTAGAGGCGCAGGTGAGGCCACCATGGGAAGAGGTGACAGCGCTCTCACTCGCGACCAAAGGGTTGTGGTCAAAGTTTGAGCGACTGCGGCTGGCTGATGGCGTGTTACAGCGGGCATGGAAGGAGTCAGCTACGGGGGAGGAGAGGTGGCAGGTGGTGGTCCCAAAAGCATTGCGGGAGGCTGTGCTCCAGAGTACTCATGGGGGGGTGGGGACTGGACACTTTGGGGTCACAAAAACACTGCGCCGCCTCCATCAGGGCTTTTACTGGGGGCAGCACAAGAGGGATGTGGAAGACTTTTGCCGCCGCTGTGACAACTGCACAGCGAGAAAGGGCCCCCCAGGCCGCTCTCATGCTCAGCTCCAACAGTTCCCAGTGGGGGCTCCCATGGAGAGGGTGGGAGTGGATGTAGTTGGGCCGTTCCCCACCACAGACAGTGGAAACCGCTGGGTGCTCACGGCCATGGACTATTTCACAAAGTGGCCCGAGGCCTATGCTCTGCCTGACCAGGAGGCAGAGACCATCGTCGACGCCCTGACAGCGGGGATGTTCAGCAGGTTTGGAGCTGCAGAGTCCATCCACAGCGACCAAGGCAGAAACTTTGAGTCCCGTGTGTTCGCCACCATGTGTGAGAGGCTGGGTATGCACAAGACCCGCACTACTCCTCTCCATCCTCAAAGTGATGGCCTTGTGGAGCGCTTCAACAAAACGCTTGGACAGCAGCTGGCCATCGTCTCTTCCAAACACCAGCGTGACTGGGACAAGCACCTGCCTATGGTCCTCATGGCATGCCGCTCCGCTGTCCAAGACTCCACCTCCTGCACGCCTGCCCTCCTCATGCTGGGGAGAGAGATCCGTACCCCTGCGGAGATGGCGTTTGGTCGGCCCCTGGATAGCCCTCATGTTTCCCCGGGGCCGGAGTATGCCCGGAGACTCCAGGACCGCCTGGAGACAGCCCACACCTTCGCCAGAGAGCAGCTGCTGAATGCAGGTGTGAGGCAGAAGAGGAACTATGACGTGCACACCCGGGGAAGGCACTTTGTGGCTGGGGAGCTGGTCTGGGTCTACAGCCCGCTAAGGAAAAAAGGCAGATGCCCCAAGTTGGACAGTCACTGGGTGGGACCCTGCAGTGTCCTGGAGTGGGTAGGGGAGGTTGTTTACCGGGTGCAGCTTCCTCCCAGGGGGAGAAAGGTGACACTGCACCGGGACAGGTTAGCCCCATATAGAGGGGCCTCTTCTCCCCAAACCCCAGGAACCCCCACAATTCCCCTCTCTGGCAATGACATTCTCCAGGCACCCACCCCCAGGTGCCGCAGACAAGGCTCCAGACAGCCCACTCCCCCTGTGTCACCGCGTGGTTCCCCAGAGCCACGGACTGTATTACCCATTCCCGCTTCCTTGTCCCCCATGTCCTTGCCTTCATCCCCTGGTTCCCAGAGGGGCACTCTGCGGCCATCACAGCCACGCAGGCAAAGGAGACCTCCGGGTCGCTTCAGAGACTTTGTTTGTTCCCTCGGGGACGAGGGACTTTGTGGTGGGGGGGCTGTGTAGCGACCCGCACAGACAGCTGTGTGTTATGTGTTAGGCTAGTAGATGGTTGTGTTGTACCTACCAGTACCCAGTGTTCGCGGGGTCCGACATGTCAATCAACCTGCTATCTGCCAATCACGGGAATGCCTGGAGTGTTCTGATGCCGGGCATCCTGGCGGTTGGCGGAGTGGCGTGGAGGGGGGTTGGGCAGGGGGATGGAGCATTGGAAGTTAAGACCAGGTTTAGCTTTTGTTCTCTCTTTTTTACGTCTGGGCTTCACAAGAGAAGGTCACGATTGGCTTGTGGGTTATCTTTCATTTATTTGGCGTGGGCTACGGCCAAACAGTAGCCTGTGTAAAGTTGGTTTAATAAACCGTCCATTCGTAAACTCAATCCTCTGTCTGGACAGTTGTTCTTTTATGATCTAGTCAGGTCATTACAATACAAAGAAATGTAAATTGAAAAAAGGTAAAACGAAACTAAGTACAGCTAGTTTGCAGTCTTTCCTGCTTCAGTTTGAAGTTGTGTTTGCTGTGTTGTTGGCTAGCTCCTCTGAACAACAGTGTCCTGACGAGTGAGCACATTTTCTATGCCAGGCGAAATCACGCCCCATTAGCATTATTGTTATGGTTGTATCCAAAGAAATGTCTCTAGAAAACAGCTTCAACAAATGCAGCTACTTTTTGACTTGACCAAGTTAGCAAGCAAGGGGTAAGAACGTTGCCAGCCAGTATGGCAATGGAACATTTAGAACGAACGACTGGATCGCGTCTCTAGCAACCAAACCGATTGAACCAGCTGGCTTCGGTAGCAACCCTAGATATGTGTCCGGACTATAGAATGAAATAGTATGAATATATTAATTAAAATAACGTTAGTGAAAATGTCAATCATTATTTGAATATGTTGGTAACCCGTTGTATAAAAGTGGTAATGCCCTCGAAGCCGGTGTTTGGAGGATATATTGGCACGGTTTGTCGGCCCTCGACTTCGTGTGCGTTCGTAAATTCACTCTGGCTATCTACTCCGATTTCAGATCACTCTCGTCTGTGTGCCAGAGCGCAGAATAATTTAATTTACGAACGCTCAACACCCGTTGAATATGGCCGGTGTCAGTAAACATCAGCAAAAACGCGTAATTCAATTGTTGCTAGCAGCACTGTGTCACCAACGCTCTGGATAACATAAAAACTGCCTAACCAGCGCTGCTGGGCGAGTAAAATGGTAAGAGTGAGGTGTGCTCTCATTTGTGTCTGGGAGTTTCTAGCAAGCTAGCCAACCCAGTTAGCTTGGGTGCATGACTGCGGTTGTGAGGTCAGAACGCTCAGATCAACCCTACTCCTCGGCCAGAGCGTCCAGTGTGCCCTCTGAACGCTCCGAGAGCAAAACGCTCTGAATTTACGAACGCCCAGAGCGCACTCTGGCACTCCAGATTTAATTTACGAACACATCTTTCGTCTCGGGCCTAACACCACCCATGCCAATATCCTCCAAACACCGGCTTCGAGGGCATTATCACTTAAAGGCAAACTGGTGAGAGTTTTTCATGGTCACGGATAGTTTAGGAACTCTGATTCACTGGAGCCATCTCTATTAAATTGGTTATACTTTATGGAAAAATAACTTATGGTCACATCCACACTTCATATTTATACAAGGTCCAACATTTATTTGAAATACCAAAGTGTCAAAATGCTGGTAAACCTCGAGCAGATTTCTACCACTTATCAAATATTACAATAAACATCATAACCTGGGCAAAGTTGCCCCAGAAAGACATCTGAAAACGACCACATTCAAAGTTAAAATCTCAGCAAATGTACTTAAGTGAGAAGTTAATTGTACATTCACTAAAAAGGCAGGCAGGCGTAATGAGAAGAAATGTACCATTGCACTTCCTGTCATATTATTCCTCTGTTGATAGGAAAGCAGATTCAAGCACTGACAAGTTACTCTTGAAATAATTTGCAGCTGCATCTGAAGGAAACGACAATAGTAGCAACTACAGCATCAGTAGAAATAAATAACCACAACAATTACAGTAATAATTAAGGCATTCGAGCGAAAACATTTGCACAGACCAGCAAGATAAATACTTTAAAAATACAATAAGGAACAGGATAGAGAAAGGCTATTAAGAATGGTGGGAGGTAATAGAAAGAACAGATGAAGTGGGATTCACCCACGATACAAACCATTGTCCATGTAGCTAGCTGATTGTCATAAATTTTTGATGTATACAGCAGGAAAAGTAGGAAAGTGTAAGCCCCAGAAAAGTATACAGCCCTTTGTCACAGTACAGTCCAAAGTAAAAATAACCACAAAGAATACCAAAACCAAAGTAAGGTGAATGTGAGCACATGCATCTACCACTTGAAGTCACTGTACAATAAAGTACAGCTTAACATGCCCAAGTAAATACAACAATATTGTACAGAAAATAACTCAACCGTTAAAACGTAAGTGACTAATATGTTTGCCACCTTTTGGTTTGAGAGTAGCATGTATCAGAAGGGAGAGTGCGTGTGTGTGAACACGTATGTGCATGTGAAAATGCTTGCCAAGAATTTCAACTATGTACTGCATTGAAACTCTATTTCTGCTGTGTTAATATCCCACCACAATAGTCATCAGTGTAAAGGTGCTGTAAAACACTCAAGCAAGTATTCTTATAAAACATCAAAGTCAAGTTGAGGCACAGCAAAACCCTGTGATTCCAAGCGTATGAGTGTATCCCAAATGGCACCCTATTCCCTATACAGTGCACTACATTTGAACAGAGTTCTTTGGGCCCTTGGCTTAGTCAATCTACAAAAGATCTCATATTTCATATTTTAACCGACAAAATAAAATAAGAAATGATGGTGCCAGGATGACAGTTGATTGTACTGGCAACCAACCTCCTTTGACACAGCAATGTAGTTCTCATAAAACCAGAAAAATAACTGCAAGTCAATTTCATAGTGCTTGGCATGTTAGCTACTTCATGTCGAGTCCTGAGTACGTCCCTCTAACCAGCTATATCTCAATCTATTCATTTACTATATGAAATAATATCTCTCCCTAGCAGTTGGTGGTATGTAATTGTCCCTCAGTGAGGATGGAGGTGATGTTGTTGTCGTAAAAACCGTCCTCGTCCTCGGAGCTGAGGTTGGAGGAGCCCAGGACGGGTCGACGCGTCTGATACACCTTCCGCCTGAGAGAGGAAACAAGACATGGTTGTCATCACCTCATTGACTGTAGTTGTTACTAAAAGGCACACACAGTTCCTACTGAACGTACTGGTATTTCAGTGTTTTGTTGTTGTTCCCTGAACCATTCCAATGTCTGCTAATGCATTTCAATAGAGGACTAAAACAAGAAATAGGTATTTCTACATTTTAGCAGGTTTGAGCAGTGTGCTGAGTGATATTGAAGCACCACCTGCTGGTACTGAGGGGTTTGACAACACTGGTGAAGGTGTCTGTTTACAGGAGTGTGGTTTATAATACATAACCATATCTGGTATAACTGGTATGACAAGATGCAACTCTGTACAGAACAGTCATATAGAGGGCGTGGGATACTAGAGAATATATTTGGTGTATACTGCTAGTATGTACTGTAGATAGATATTTGTCAGAGGGGGAACTCACTTTAGTTCAATCTCCAGTGCTCTGACTTTTGCCTGCAGATACTAGGGAATATGTTATGTTTGTGTGCGCGTGTGTTATATATATAACATTACCAGTCCAAAGTTTGGACACACCTACTCATTCCAGGGTTTTTCTTTATTTTCACTATTTTCTACATTGTAGAATAATAGTGAAGACATCAAAACTATGAAATAACACATATGGAATCATGTAGTTACCAAAAAAGTGTTAAACAAATCAAAATATATTTTATATTTGAGATTCTTCAATGTAGCCACCCTTTGCCTTGACAGCTTTGCACACTCTTGGCATTCTCTCAATCAGCTTCATGGAGGTAGTCACCTGTAATGGATATCAATTAACAGGAATTTCTTTCCTTCTTAATGCTTTTGAGCCAATCAGTTGTGTTGTGACAAGGTAGGGGTGGTATACAGAAGATAGCCCTATTTGGTAAAAGACCATATTAATGCAAGAACAGCTCAAATAAGCAAAGAGAAACGACAGTCCATCATTACTTTAAGACAAGGTCAGTCAATATGGACAATTTCAATGACTTTTAAAGTTTCTTCAAGTGTAGTCGCAAAAACCATCAAGAGCTATGATGAAACTGGCTCTCATGAGGACCGCCACAGGAAAGGAAGACCCAGAGTTACCTCTGCTGCAGAGGATAAGTTCATTAGAGTTATCAGCCTCAGAAATTGCAGCCCAAATAAATGCTTCACAGAGTTAAAGTCACAGATACATCTCAACATCAACTGTTCAGAGGAGACTGCGTGAATCAGGTCTTCATGGTCGAATTGCTGCAAAGACACCACTACTAAAGGACACCAATAAGAAAAAGAGACTTGCTTGGGCCAAGAAACACAAGCAATGGACATTAGATCGGTGGAAATCTGTCCTTTGGTCTGATGAGTCCAAATTTGAGATCTTTGGTTCCAACCGCCGTGTCTTTGTGAGACACAGAGTAGGTGAACGGATGATCTCTGCATGTGTGGTTCCCACCATGAAGCATGGAGGAGGAGGTGTGATGGTGTGGCGGTGCTTTGCTGGTGACACCGTCTGTGATTTATTTAGAATTCAAGGCACACTTAACCAGCATGGCTACCACAGCATTCTGCAGCGTGAAGGAAAAGCAGCCAACAAGTGCTCAGAATATGTGGGAACTCCTTCAAGACTGTTGGAAAAGCATTCCAGGTGAAGCTGGTTGAGAGAATGCCAAGAGTGTGCAAAGCTGTCATCAAGGCAAAGGGTGGCTACTTTGAAGAATCGAAAATATATTTGTTTAACACTTTTTTGGTTACTACATGATTCCATATGTGCTATTTCAAAGTTTTGATCTCTTCACTATTATTCTACAATGTAGAAAATAGTAAAAATAAAGAAAAACCCTTGAATGAGTAGGTGTGTCCAAACTTTTGATTGACAGGTACTGTATATCAGGGAACTCACTTCTCAGACTCCAGTGCTGTGACTTTGGCTTGCAGTGCCTCCTGCAGCTCCTGCTGCTCCTCCAGGTCCCTAAGAGACTTCCTGCGGACCCCCTCCAGTCGTTCCACCTCGCCCTCGCTCTCGTCCAGCTGACGCTTCAGGGCCTTCACACGCAGGGACAGCTGGGGACAAAGAGGGGGACAGGGGGTTAGGATACTGTAGCACCTAGATGTCAGGATACTGTCACACAGGAGCACAAGGGAGCAAGGAAAGGTAAAAGGTCAGCAGGACACAGCAAGTCAGCTATTAAATGCATAGAAAAGGCAATGTCCTGAGGAAAATGTGTGCTTGCTTGACTTGAAGTATTTATGGTAGTGAAGTGTGTAGTTGTACAGTGTGAGGAAACAATATGAATTTCCACCAAAAACCACCTAATTCTCTGTCATTACATTCATTTTCATGTTATAGTATGCATACTGTACACAGTACATTCATATGTAAGAGATAATCAACGAGGGGTTATGCGTACTCTGGAAAATAATGAACGACGTGGAAGGTGTGCTCCATGACGCGCTAGCTTTCAAAAGCAGCTCAAACATATAGTAGAACATGTAAGAACTATAGCCATTGAATTCTACGTGCAAATATACTGTGCGTTATAGGGAAATAATGCACGCTCAAGAATGCCCTTCAAGCCAATCAGAAACAAGTATTCAACAATGCCATGGTATAAAATAATAATAATAAATGCCATTTAGCAGACACTTTTATCCAAAGCAACTTAGTCACAGGTGTATACATTTTACGTAATGGTGTCCAAGGAATCAAACCCACTATCCTGGCGTTGCAAGCGCCATGCTCTACCAACTGAGCTACAGAGGACCACCAGTATCCATTAACAAGTACCTGGTCTAGTTGCTCAGCGTGCTGGTTCCTCTCAAACCATTGTACATGAAGCTGATTGTCATAAATATCTGATGTATACAGCAGGAAGAGTAGGAAAGTGTAAGCCCCAGAAAAGTATACAGCCCTTTGTCACAGTACAAAGTAAAAATAACCACAAAGAATACCAAAACCAAAGTAAGGTGGATGTGAGCACCTGCAGCTACCACTTGAAGCCACAGTATGATAAAGTACAGCTTAACATGCCCAAGTAGATACAACAACATTGTACAGAAAATAACTCAACCGTTAAACATACGTGACCAATACGTTTGCCACTTTTTGGTTTGAGAGTAGCATGTATCAGAAGGTAGAGTGCGTGTGTGTGAACACGTATGTGCATGTGAAGAAGCTTGCCAAGAATTCAAACTATGTACTGCATTGAAAACACAATTTCTGCTGTGTTAATATCCCACCAAAATAGTCATCAGTGTAAAGGTGCTGAAAATCGAATTCAACAACGATAATAATGTTTTCAATTCGACTTTTGCTTTCAAAAGCAGCTCAAACATAGAACATGTAAGTACTATAGCCATTGCATTTTACTGTGTGTTATAGGGAACAAATGCACGCTTTAGAATGCCCTTCAAGCCAATCAGAAACAAGTATTCAACAATGCCATGGTATAAAATAATAATATATGCCATTTAGCAGACTCTTTTATCCAAAGCAACTTAAAGTTATGCATGTATACACTTTACGTACTGGTGGTCCCGGGAATCGAAACCACAATCCTGGCGTTGCAAATGCCATTCTCTACCAACTGAGCTACAGAGGACCACCAGTATCTATTAACATCTACCTGGTCTCGTTGCTCAGCGTGCTGGTTCCTCTCCTGGTCCAGAGTGACGATTATGTCCTTCAGCTTCCTCTCTACTCTCCTCTGGGAGGCCTGGATACTCAGCTTCTCTCTGAACATGGAGACATATCATTACACACAATATTCATACTATTCAGATTAACCATAGTATCCACAAAGCCAGGACTACTGCTAGTCAATATTATGGTGCTTGGCATGTTAGTACTTGATGTAGTGTCCAGAGTACTTGAGCAGTTACTATACTTAGTGTGTGCGTGTACACACACACACACCTCTCTTCACTGTGTAGCCTCTCCTCCAGCTCCTGTATTTTGACCTCTAACAAAGTGATTCCAGCGGAGGGACGGGACTGTGTCTCCATGTCTGCCACACGGGACCTCAACTCCTTCACCTGAGGAGAGAGAGTTGGCATATCAAGATATGTTTGAGCAAAAACTATTTTGAGGGTGATGACATACTCTTAGAATTAGGCATTTTCTGTTCAATAAATGTTAGGATATGAAAAGTGAAGTCTGTACCTGTCTCTCCAGGACACTCTTGTCCATTTCTAGGTCGTGTACGGTTGAGCGCTCCTTCATCAGGTCTCCACGCAGCTGGTCAATCTGAGAGAGAAAGGAGGAGGAGGAGGAGAGAATACGCAAACATTCTGAGAGACTTAGTCTGTATGGAAATCAGTCCCTGCTTGTGCGTATTCAAGTGTGTGTGTGTGTCTATTGAAGTACAGTACCTGTTCTCGACTGCGTGCAACACGATCATTGAGAAGCTCCACGCTGCTCTTCTCCTCATCCAATTCAATTTCCATCGTCTTCACTTTGTCCTGACACACAAACACACATCCATCCATGTTGTAAACAAATGAGTTTGACCATGTCTTTTCAACCTATCCTCTCCTCCCAATATCATATACTCCATCCTGATATCCCAATGCAAGAAGTCTTTCATATACAATTCCCAAAGATCTCAGAAGAACCCTTGACCTCTAACCTCAAGTTCTCACACACAGTATTTCCACACCTATAATTCACCCCAAAATCTTTGACATTTAAAGGTCATGACCTTTGACCACTCACCTCCAGGCCTCTGAGCTCTCTGTTGCGGTCCGTCTGAGCGCTCCTCTCGGAGTCCAGTTCGCTCTCCAGATGTTTGAGGCGGCTGCTGAGCAGGTCTCTCTCCAGCTGGGCGCTGTCCCTCTCCTCACCACACACCAGCAGCTCTTTCTTCAAACGAGACACCTGGACCACGGAACAGGGGGATGGAGTCAGTGGTTTGATATTTGGAAAGGGGACATAATATCCCCAATATATTGAAAGTCATGCAAGGATCGCCTCAAGTTTGTCTCATTAACTGTGTCTCACTTCATACCGTATCTTTTAATTTTCTTCCTTCTCTTCCCTCAATCCTTTTACTCCTTTCTCGCTCTACAGTACACCTGTAAACTATCTTTCTCTCCACTGATCTCACTCCTCCCTTCTTTCTCTGTACCTGAACACCATCTTTCTGTCCTTTCCTTTCCCTCCCTCACCTTTTCCTGCAGTTTCTTCAGGTTGGCCTGGGCCCTCTACAGTTCAGCCAGTCCACACACTCACTCACCTCTTCCTGCAGTGTCTTCAGGTTGGCCTGGGCCCTCTGCAGTTCAGCCAGTCGGTCTTTGCCCTGCCGCTGGGCATCCTGTAGGTCTCTCCTGGAGCGCTCCCTGTACTCATCCATCTGGCTCTGCAGGGCCTGCACCGACTGACGGGAGTCCCCCAGCATCACCTCCATCTGACGGGTAGAGGAGAAGGGTTGGGTGGAAAGGGGATGGATGAGAAGGATGGGGTGATCTTTGTTAATTCAGCTTTAAAGCAATCCAAAATCCATACCAGGGCAGTAGAATAAAATACATAAAAAAGCAGATGCACGCACATACGCAAAGCCGCAGCCGCACGCACCACACACACCTCCTTGCTAATCTTCTCCAGGGCCCGGTCTAGCAGTCTCTTCTGCTCCTCCAGGTCACTCTTGCCCCTGCGCAGCGCGTCTCTCTCCAGATCTCTCTCCTCCAGCCGTTGGCCCAGCTCGTCCCTGTCCTTGCCCAGACGGGAGGCTCCTCGCCTGGCTTCCTCCAGCTGGCACCTCAGGGAGCGGTTCTCATCTTCCAGGGCCTGCTCAGCCTCCGAGCTCTGGGGCACGCTGGAGTGAAGCCTCGTCTGTGGAACAGAAAAATACCATATTTTTATTTAGGAGTATGTGTATTTAGGTATACCTTATATAGTATGTGATATTAATAACAGATACGTAATAACAGATCAGAGAGTTTATGTGACTCCATGCATTACTGTGTAGTAATTATGTGTCCTTTTCTAAAGATATAAAAGTCTCTCAATTGCATATGTGCCTAGAGGTGTAGCGTATGTTTGCAGTGTTACTCCTGTGTGTTTTTCGATAGCTATGCATGCATGTTGCGGCTTTGGTATGTGTATTTTACCATGCGAGTCAGTCTCTCTCTTAGCCTTGTGTTGGCTTCCTGAAGCTCCAGACTCCCCTGATCCAATGGTGAGGACCCACCTGACGACTAGAGAGCACGCGAGAGAGGTAAAAGAGAAACTTCACATCCATGATCCATCCCACACTCAGTCAAAGTTTAGTTGTTTCAAGTTGATGACACCTCACCTGCTTTGCCTTCTCAAGTGCCATCTCGAGCTCATCTTTCTCCTGCCGTGATTGGTCCTTCAGCCTGTCAATCTCTGACCTCAGTTCAGACTCCCGCACTTGGCTAGCCCTCCTTAGGGCTTGAAGCTCCTCCTCCTTCTTGTTTAGCTCAACCTTTTGTCTGTCGAGCTCTGTGCGAGCCTGCTTGATATCGCCAAGACAACGCTGAAGATCCTTGGAAAAAAGCAAATCGTGACCAAGATGAATAAAGAGGATGAGGAACAGAATGTGTGCAACTGCCTTTTGCGCGTGTGTGTGTGTGTGTGTGTGTGTGTAGGACAGAATTAGTGAGATTGTGGGTGTATTTAATTGTGTACAGTGCCTTCACAAAGTATTCATACCCCTTGACTTATTCCACATTTTGTTGTGTTACAGCCTGAATTCAAAATTGATTAAATATATGTCTCACCCATCTACACACAATACCCCATAATGACATTTACATTTTAGTCATTTAGCAGACGCTCTTATCCAGAGCGACTTACAGTTAGTGAGTGTATACATTACTTTTTTATTTTTCATACTGGTCCCCCGTGTGAATCGAACCCACAACCCTGACGTTGCAAACGCCATGCTCTACCAACTGAGCTACATCCCTGCCGACCATTCCCTCCCCTACCCTGGACGACGCTGGGCCAATTGTGCGCCGCCCCATGGGTCTCCCGGTCGTGGCCGGCTACGACAGAGTCTGGATTCGAACCAGGATCTCTAGTGGCACAGCTAGCACTGCGATGCAGTGCCTTAGACCACTGCGCCACTCAGGAGCTGTCAAAGTGAAAACACGTTAGAAATGTCAGCAAATGTATAGAAAATGAAATACAGAAATGTCTCATTTACATACGTATTCACACCCCAGAGTCAATACTTTATAGAAGCACCTTTGGTAGCGATTTCTGGGTAAGTCTCGAAGAGCTTTCCACACCTGGATTGTGTAACATTTGCCCATTATTCCTTTCAAAAGTCTTCAAGCTCTGTCAAATGTTGTTGTTGATCATTGCTAGACAACCATTTTCAGGTCTTGTAGATTTAAGTCAAAATTGTAACTTGGCCACTCAGGAACATTCACTGTGTTCTTGGTAAGCTACTCCAGTGTAGATTTGGCCATGTGTTTCAGGTTATTGTCCTGCTGAAAGGTGAATTAATCTCCCGGTGTCTGTTGGAAAGCAGACTGAACCAGGTTTTCCTCTAGGATTTAGCCTTTTATTTTTATTTTTTATTTAACCAGGTAGGCCAGTTGAGAACAAGTTCTCATTTACAACTGCGACCTGGCCAAGATAAAGCAAAGCAATGCGATAAAAACAACAACACAGAGTTACATATGGGATAAACAAAAACGTACAGTCAATAACACAATAGAAAAATAGAAAATCTATATACAGTGTGTGCAAATGTAGTAAGTTATGGAGGTAAGGTAATAAATAGGCCATAGTGCAAAATAATTATAATTTAGTATTAACACTGGAGTGATAGATGTGCAGAAGATGATGTGCAAATACAGATACTGGGGTGCAAATGAGCAAAATAAATAACAATATGGGGATGAGGTAGTTGGGTGGCCTAATTACAGATGGGCTGTGTACAGGTGCAGTGATCGGTAAGCTGCTCTGACAACTGATGCTTAAAGTTAGTGAGGGAGATGTTGGCTTTGGGGATGACCAGTGAGATATACCTGCTGGAGCGCAGACTACGGGTGGGTGTTGCTATGGTGACCAATGAGCTAAGATAAGGCGGGGATTTGCCTAGCAGTGATTTATAGATGACCTGGAGCCAGTGGGTTTGGCGACGAAAATGTAGTGAGGGCCAGCCAACAAGAGCGTACAGGTCACAATGGTGGGTAGTATATGGGGCTTTGGTGACAAAACAGATGGCACTGTGATAGACTACATCCAATTTGCTGAGTAGAGTGTTGGAGTCTATTTTGTAAATGACATCACTGAAGTCAAGGATCAGTAGGATAGTCAGTTTTACGAGGGCATGTTTGGCAGCATGAGTGAAGGAGGCTTTGTTGCGAAATAGGAAGCTGATTCTAGATTTAATTTTGGATTGGAGATACTTATTGTGAGTCTGGAAGGAGAGTTTACGGTCTAACCAGACACCTAGGTATTTGTAGTTGTCCACATATTCTAAGTCAGACCCGCCGAGAGTAGTGATTCTAGTCGGGCGGGCGGGTGCAAGCAGCGTTCGATTGAAGAGCATGCATTTAGTTTTACTAGCGTTTAAGAGCAGTTGGAGGCCACGGAAGGAGTGTTGTATGGCATTGAAGCTCATTTGGAGGTTTGTTAACACAGTGTCCAATGAAGGGCCAGATGTATACAAAATGGCGTTGTCTGCGTAGAGGTCGATCTGAGAGTCACCAGCAGCAAGCGCGACAACATTGATATACACAGAGAATAGAGTCGGCCCGAGAATTCAACCATGTGGCACCCCCATAGAGACTGACAGAGGTCCAGACAACAGGCCCTCCGATTTGACACATTGAACTCTGAGAAGTAGTTGGTGAACCAGGCGAGGCAGTCATTTGAGAAACCAAGGCTATCTAGTCTGCCAATAAGAATGCCTATTCTTAGCTCCATTCCGTTTCTTTTTTATCCTGAAAAACTCCCCAGTCCATAATGATTACAAGCATATCCATAACATGATGCAGCCACCACTATGCTTGAAAATATGGAGAGTGGTACTCAGTAATGTGTTGTCTTGGATTTGCCCCAAACATAACACTTTGTATTTAGGACAAAAAGTGAATTGCTTTGCAGTATTACTTTAGTGCCCTGTTGCAAACAGGATGCATGTTTTGGAATATTTTATTCTGTACAGGCTTCCTTCTTTTCACTCTGTCAATTAGGTTAGTACTGTGGAGTAACTACAATGTTGTTGATCCATCTTCAGTTCTCTCCTATCACAGCCATTAAACTCTAACTGTTTTAAAGTCACCATTGGCCTCATGGTGAAATCCCTGAGCGGTTTCCTTCCTCTACGGCAACGGAGTTAGGAAGGATGCCTGTATCTTTGTAGTGACTGGGTGTATTGCTACACCATTCAAAGTGTAATTAATAACTTTACCATGCTCAAAGGTATATTCAATGTCTGCTTTTTTCATTTTTTCATCTACCAATAGGTGCCGGTCTTTGCGAGGCAAACCTCCCTGGTCTTTGTGGTTGAATCTGTGTTTAAAATTCGCTGCTCGACTGAGGGACCTTACAGATAATTGTATGTGTAGGGTGTGGAGATTAGGTAGTCATTCAAAATTCATGTTAAACACTATTATTGCACATGCAAGCTATTATGTGACTTGTTAAGCAAAATGTTACTCCTGAACTTATTTAGGCTCGCCATAACAATGGGGTTGAATACTTATTGACTCAAGACATTTCAGCTTTTCATTTTTAATTACTTTTTTTAAAATCCCCCAAAACATAATTCCACTTTGACATTATGGGGTATTGTGTGTAGGCCAGTGACAAAAAAAATCTCAATTTAATCCATTTTAAATTCCAGCTGTAACACAACAAAATGTGGAAAAAGTCTAGGGGTGTGAATACTTTGTGAAGGCACTATGTGTAAGAATGTGTGTATGCTTTATCTTTGTGACATTGTGACCATGAAGAAGCTTACCTCTGCATAAGAGTCTGCCTCGTCAAAGCCCGGCATCTGCTTCTTCATGGACATCAGTGAATCCTGAAGCTCCTTCAGCTCCCCCTCAAACTCTTCCTTCTCCAAACGTGCTCTCATAAGCCTACACAAACACAGCCAATAGTTATTAAACACACCGCATGTACGATAATCATGTGAACACTACAGCTAATGCACAACACAAACAAACAATGAACACGCTTTGAATCTACACACCATCACAAACCTGTTGCTATCTAAGACAAAACACATATTGCAAGGAATCTGGACTATCTGAACAAATCTTGATACAGCGAATATGTAATCATTGTTAATTTCAATAGTTTAGATCATGTCTGTTTATAACAGTTGATATGATTACTTAGATTCATCATTTGTCATGATAGCTTGATTAATAAAAATAGCTTCTGAGATTCATTTGAGAAGTTATAGAAATTGGTAAATAAATCTTGATTGATCATTTGCTCAGTAGGTTGTAGTTAGTATTTATCGTTCTAATGATCAGATCATTAGTCACATTGGGCTGCATCAAAACTTGAGATACGAGCATGTTATTTGAGTGACGTGTTATTTGAGGATCAGAACTCAAGTTAAAGATTTGGCCCCATGAGACTAAACTATTCTACTCAGACCAAAAAGAGTGAGTTTGAGTTTCTCACTCACGTTGGAGTGTTGCTCTGCTGCCCATTCCTGCCCAGTAAAAATGTCAGGGATAAAAAGGAAAAGGTGCATGCATTAAAGGGAGGCAGTAGAATAATGTTTAACATTTCAGGTCTGGACCCAAGCCACTGGAAACATTAGTCACAACAAAAAACGTAGGTATTCAAATGCAATCCAAAATAAATAAAAGGTGTGAACATCGGCAAACATCTTAGGAAAGTGTGACAATGCAAACTCTCTCAGGTGTTCCGAAACTGACACTCCTATCAAAATTAAAATACTCTGGGGTAAAACGGTCTCCCTTTGGTAGAGCTGGGAATTGCCAGGGTGCTTAGGTGCCGATACGATATGTATTGCGATTCTCATGATTCTCACAATTCTATATGTACTGCAATTCGATACTCTGATTTTGTTGCAATTTTATGTTACAAACATATTGCTTACTATATGTCTGCTGCAGAGAGACAAGAGAGAGCATGAACAAATTTGTTTTGATCAGTCCTGGAAACAAAAGTGCTGAAAACATGTGGGCTCACTACTTTAAAAAAAGATGGAGAACAAGCTTCAGGATGGAAATTACCGGCGTTTTGGAGCAGGTACAGCAGACTAGTGCTAGCTAACGGTACCTAGCAACAACAAAAAAAGTCCAAAATAATATCGCGATACATAACTGTATCGATTCCCCCCCCCCCCCCCATCACTACCCTTTAGCAATCATAAAGTGTAAGTTTGCCTTTGAAGACCAGATAAGGGGCTGCCACTGATAAGGGGCCGCAATATCTCTGGTATTTTGGATCATAGGTCAAGACAATAGAAACTGGCCTTACATAGACTACTAGTTTAAAGCTAAAATGAAGACGACTTTACAGATGTGTAGACATGTGTATGATGCACCATTGATATACTACAGCCAATTAAATAATAATTATATTAAGGCACTCACTCATGCTTGGTGCTATGAAGCTCCTCTGTGGTGGTTTCCAGCTGCTCCCTCCACTGGCCACCCTGGTCCCTGCAGCTCTCTAGGTCATGCTCCAGGCAGAGCATGGAATCATTCACCCGCTGCCTCTCCTCCTCAATCTGCTGCTGGGACTAACACACAGCAGGGAGAGATCAGACATTTGGTACATACATGCATACAGTGCATTCAGAAAGTATTCAGACCCCTTGACTTTTTACACATTTTGTTTCGTTACAGCCTTATTCTAAAATTGATTTCATTGTCCCCCCCCCCCCTCAATCTACACTCAATAATACCCCATAATGACATAGCAAAAACAGGTTTTTATAAATTTGCTGAAATTTATAAACTGAAATATCACATTTATATAAGTATTCAGACCATTTACACAGTACTTTGTTGAAGCACCTTTGGCAGCGATTACAGCCTCGAGTCTTCTTGGGTATAATGCTACAAGCTTGGCACACCTGTATTTGGGGAGTTTCTCTCATTCTTCTCTACAGATCCTCTCAAGCTCTGTCAGGTTGGATGGGGAACATTGCTGCACAGCTATTTTCAGGTCTCTCCAGAGATGTTCGATCGGGTTCAAGTCCGGGCTCTGGCTGGGTCACTCCAGGACATTGAGGCTTGTCCCGAAGCCACTCCTGCGTTGGCTTGGCTGTGTGCTTAGGGTCCTTGTCCTGTTGGAAGGTGAACCGTCGCCCCAGTCTGAGGTCCTGAGCACGTTTTCATCAAGTATCTCTGTACTTTGCTCCGTTCATCTATCCCTTGATCCTGACTAGTCTCCCAACGGGCTGTCATGTGCCTTTTACTGAGGAGTGGCTTCCCTCTGGCCACTCTACAATAAAGGCCTGATTGGTGGAGGAATGCAGAGATGGTCGTCCTTCTGGAAGGTACTCCCATCTCCACAGAGGAACTCTGGAGCTCTGTCAGAGTGACCACCGGGTTCTTGGTCACTTCCCTGACCAAGGCCCTTCTCCCCAGATTGCTCAGTTTGGCTGGGCGGCCAGCTCTAGAAAGAGTCTTGGTGGTTCCAAACTTCTTCCATTTAAGAATGATGGAGAACACTGTGTTCTTGGGGACCTTCAATGCTGCAGACATATGTTGGTACTCTTCCCCTGATCTATTCCTCGACATAATCCTGTCTCTGAGCTCTACGAACAATTCCTTTGACCTCATGGCTTCGTTTTTGCTCTAACAGGTTTGTGCCTTTCCAAATCATGTCCAATCAATTGAATTTATCACAGGTGGACTCAAATCAAGTTGTAGAAACACCTCAAGGATGATCAATGAAACAGGATGCACCTGAGTTTGGACACACCTACTCATTCAAGGGTTTTTCTTTATTTTTACTATTTTTTACATTGTTGAATAATAGTGAAGACATCGAAACTATGAAATAACACATATGGAATCATGTAGTAAACAAAAAAGTGTTAAACAAATCAAAGTATATTTCATATTTGAGAATCTTCAAATAGCCACCCTTTGCCTTGATGACAGCTTTGCACATTCTTGGCATTCTCTCAACCAGCTTCACCTGGAATGCTTTTCCAACCGTCTTGAAGGAGTTCCCACATATGCTGAGCACTTGTTGGCTGCTTTTCCTTTACTCTGCCGTCCTACTCATCCCAAACCATCTCAATTGGGTTGGGGGATTGTGGAGGCCAGGTCATCTGATGCAGCACTCCATCACTCTCCTTCTTGGTAAAATAGCCCTTACACAGCCTGGAGGTGTGTTGGGTCATTGTCCTGTTGAAAAACAAATGATAGTCCCACTAAGCACAAACCAGCTGGGATGGCGTATCGCTGTAGAATGCTGTGGTAGCCATGCTTGTTAAGTGTGCCTTGAATTCTAAATAAATCACTGACAGTGTCACCAGCAAAGCACCCCCACACCATAACACCTCCATGCTTTACGGTGAAATACACATGCAGAGATCATCCGTTCACCCATACCGCATCTCACAAAGAAACGGTGGTTGGAACCAAAAATCTCCACTTTGGACTCCAGACCAAAGGACAAATTTCCACAGGTCTAATGTCCATTGCTCGTGTTTCTTGGCCCAAGCAGGTCTCTTCTTCTTATTGGTGTCCTTTAGTAGTGGTTTCTTTGCAGCAATTCGACCATGAAGGCCTGATTCACACAGTCTCCTCTGAACAGTTGATGTTGAGATGTGTCTGTTACTTGAACTGTGAAGCATTTATTTGGGCTGCAGTTTCTGAGGCTGGTAACTCTAATGAACTTATCCTCTGCGGCAGAGTTAACTCTGGGTCTTCCATTCCTGTCGCGGTCCTCATGAGCGGCAGTTTCATCATAGCTCGATGGTTTTTGCGACTGCACTTGAAGAAACTTTAAAAGTTCTTGAAATTTTCCGTATTGACTGACCTTCATGTCTTAAATTAATGATGGACTGTCGTTTCTTTTTTTGTTTATTTGAGCTGTTCTTGCCATAATATGGACTTGGTATTTTACCAAATAGGGCTATCTTTTGTATACCCCCCTTACCTTGTCAAAACATAACTGATTGGCACAAACACATTAAAAAGGAAAGAAATTCCACAAATGAACTTTTAAGAAGGCACAGCTGTTCATTGAAATGCATTCCAGGTGACTACCTCATGAAGCTGGTTGAGAGAATGCCAAGAGTGTGCAAAGCTGTCATAAAGGCAAAGGTTGGCTACTTTGAAGAATCTCAAATACAAAATATATTTTGATTTGTTTAACACTTTTTTGGTTACTACATGATTCCATATGTGTTATTTCATAGTTTTGATGTCTTCACGATTATTCTACAATGTAGAAAATAGTAAAAATAAAGAAAAACCCTGGAATGAGTAGGTGTTTCCAAACTTTTGACTGGTACTATATGTAAATAAGTTTTTTATTTTTTTGCTTCGTCATTGCAGATTGATGAGGAAAAAAATAATTAATTCAATTTTAAAATAAGGCTGTAACGTAACAAAATATGGAAAAAGTCAAGGGGTCTGAATACTTTCCGAATGCACTGTACATACCACAGGAGGTTGGTGGCACCTTTATTGGGGAGGATGGGCTCGTGGTAATGGCTGGAGCGGAATCAGTGGAATGGTATCAAATACATCAAACATGGTTTTCATGCATTTGATGCCATTCCAGGTGCTCCGTTCCAGACATTATTATGAGCCATCCTCCCCTCAGCAGCCTCCACTGATACGTACAGACAGACAGTTTCTCAGGGACCCCCAACCAACGCATATACTGTGTTGTTCCATTTCAGCACCAGCATACCGGATTTAACTAATCAAGGGGTGGATTGGGAATGGATAGCGAAACACTGTATGAACATTTGACATATGAAGAGTTTATTTCCAAAACGCTATATCCACCAATGTTTCACATTTGTGTTTTTCCATCAGAAATGATTGCTTATGGGTACCTTCATGTATGTAAAATATTACTGTCCTCCGTTTTTTTATCCATAGATTTCAGATGTGTATACATTTTTAATTACTTTGCAAAACGCTATATATCCATTGTT